ATGCGTACTCTCATAGCGTGCGTAGAGTATTTTCGTGGTAGTGCAATATAGAGTTAGCATGCGTACTCTCATAGCGACTTGTTAGCTAGAGCTAGCATGTGTACTCTCATAGCGTGCGTAGAGTATTTTCGTGGTAGTGCAATATAGAGTAGATGACGCGCAAGTAGTAGGGGTTGGGGGTGAGGGGATGGTGGGGCGGGATGGTGACGGCCAAGAATGTTTTGCATGTGTGGTGGTGGGGTTGTGGTAGTATTAGGTTGGGGAACCAGTTAACCGGTGATGTAAGAGTGGGCCTGCAGGCATAGCCTAAAGAGGTGGGGATTCGACCCCAGCCATGGCATCAGGATCAACGATCCGGGGGAGTGTGTGGGGGGGTTTGTGTAAAGAACACAGCCATCCCAAAAGATTGGGACAATAGGTAGCCATCATGCCCATGATATTAGTCTGATACATGGTTCTCTCAACAAGGGGAAGTTTTTTAAGAGAGAKGGGGGGAGCATTATAGATTAGTATTAGCAGGTTAGCAGTGGTTAGGAGAGGGTCGAAGGACCCAACCATAGGGGGGGTGCACGCCCTTAAGCGCGCTTTTCGCCGCCTAGCACCCATAGCAGCTCATTAGAGGGGTTAGCTTAGTAACAACTGCTCCAGTTAGATTGGGGAGGGGGGAAGGAAGAGGAGGGGGATGGTGGGGACCGAGTTAGTCAGTCTTACCTGCGTCGTCATTGCCGATGTCGCCAGGTTGTCAGCAGCCGCCATGGTAGGAATTGCAGCCTTCGCAACGAAGTATCAGTAGCTCACGGTGTACGTACAGCGTGTGATGCACTGTAATGTGTCCGGCCGAGCCCAGGTACCCTCTGTCTTCTCGACCGATCAGTTGTGTTTCGGCGAGAGATACTGGGGGGACTGGTGTTACGTGGTGAAGGGAGATAAAGTGTGTGCGATGTTGTTGTAGTAAAGCCGCGCGAGCATTCATGCAATTGCATACATAGCCGTGTTCCACAGCGCGTGCTGCAACATGAAGGGGGATCTGGTTGTGCGGGCAGTGTTTGTATAGGGGATCGAGCCGTGGTATGGGCTATGCATATCCTGGCTATGATGGGGGTGTGCGAGCAATGGTTCCAATTTCGTATGCAGAAGGGTGCAAAGCAGGGGAAGGAGTGCTTTTTGGAAGGATGTCTGCGGCAGTAATCAAGGAAAGCATGCATTTTCGGAGGCATAGCTGTAGCAGTAGCCATGTAGGTGCAGTATGGTAAGTGGGTCTATAGCTGCGTTTACTATTCTTCAGTAGTGTGCGTTGTAGGGGGTGACCTGCAGAAAGCGGGCTCTGGTTCTTGCCTCGTGGCGCGTGAACATTAGTATAGGACAGGGTAGCACCGTCTTTTTGCCATGTCTTGCTGCGCGTGGTCAAGTGCAGCTGTGTGTGTTTTTTTTCATCGTGGCGGGAAGTACTGGCTATGGAGGCGCTGGGTGTCGTCGTATCTCGTTTTTATCCTGTAGGCGTGAGTATTTGTTTTTTGCATATCGTTTGCGTCGTTTCGCTGTTGTGCTTTTCGTTATTGTCGTATCCGTAGAGGTCATTAGAACGTTTCCACGAACACGTATAATCTTTGTATTTTGATGTGAGCGATATGGTATTTACGTTATGAGTGTGCATTTCTGGTATCGTAGATGAGCGAGTATACCCGTAACAGGAGTGCGGAATGCGGTTGGTGTGGTGATAATGGGTGCCTGTGTTGTTTTGATTTGCCGATAGGTGCATTGGGTTTCAAGTGGAGGTATGTATTATGGTTCGTAGAGGGTTTCGAGATGGGGAATGGATTACTGCTATGTGCAATTATTACTGGACTCGTAGAAGCACGAGTGCACCCATAACCGAAGAGCAGAGCGCGATTGGTGTGATGGTAAAGGGTGCTTTTGCGTTTTCGAATCGCCGAAAGGTGCAACAGGCATCTGGTGGAGGTCTATAAAATGACGAGCAGAGGCAGTTGGATTATTTTCATTAAACGGAGTGATTTTAATTGTAGTTGTCTTGTGGGTATCTGGGGGAAGTATGGCTCATTGAGTTTTAGGTTTTCCACGTATTTATGCCTTGTTTCAGGGATCAACTATATTTAATATATTTAATCACAAGGCTACATATTAATTTTTCTAGTTTTAATTTTTTATTTTTTGATCTTTTGCTTTTAGCATTGCTATTTTTTCTATTTCTATTTTTTTTATTTATTATTATTACTTCTATGAACTCCCTTTTTTTTATTTTTATTCCTTCTATTCTTTTCATAATTTTTCAAAAAAAAAAAAAATTCTTCTTTTATATTTTTATTATCAGTATGTGTGTGTGTGTGTGTGTGTGTGTGTGTGTGTGTGTGTGTGTGTGTGTGTGTGTGTGTGTGTGTGTGTGAGAGAGAGAGAGACAGAGAGAGAGAG